CAATTGCTATTCTGTGCACTTCATTAAAACTGATTGTGATGACTTTTCATTTGTTTATAATACGTTGCTTCAGTCTTTGGATTTCTCGTCAAAGACCGCTTCAGAAACGGGACGGCTGCAGAGAGGAACGATGAGCAGATGTACAGAACTGATGTCAACGCCGCTCCTGTGCCCGGTTCCTTTGCATCGACGTTCAGTCGCGAGGGACTGGTGGTTGTGTACCCCCCCCCGCCACGTTAGAGCGTGAAGCGGTGTCAGAAGCCAGTGGAACTTTTCATTTCCCTGATTTTAACCTGTATTCCTCCTGCACCGTTTGCAGACTGCCTGCCCTGACAACTCCTCCGCCCCCCGAAATGCTGGAATGACGTTATCGCCTTTCCCTCTCACGCCTCCTCCTGTTAGTTCCGAGCAATATCCGTTTCCTATGTGACCTTTTGGACTGTCAGCGATACTGGTTTTAATATCCGATTAAACTCCATTTTCAGCTTCATGTTCCAGTTGCTTAGCTCATTTGTTTTTCTGTTCTCTTCATAACGCATCTACCTTGGTCTGTTTTCTTCCAACTCCTTCCTTCATTCTGTCTACCATGTAACGTAGTTTAGCATCATTTGCTTCTCCACGATTCTATTACGTGATGCTTTTTGCCTCCTCTTACTCTTTGAATCTGCTCTCATTTTTTTTTAACCTCCTGTAATTAATCATTTCTGTCTTTAAAGTTTGGGCTTTCCGTTCCCCTGTGTTAGCACTGGTATTCCTGCGTTTACAGACACTGTATTCATGCTGGTGAGTGCTTAAGTTGCTCTCCTCATTATTCAGACATGAAGTAATTATGTTTTCACTCTCTTTAGGAATAATTTTATTGCCCTTTCTGACCAACTTCTCCACAGATTGTAACTTCAGAGAACTTACCAACAGCTTCTACTCAAAACTTCAACGTAACGAGTATCAGAATTCCTCCATCAAGTCTTCTACCAGGCCTGCTCATGGTTGGCGAGTATCTTCCTAACCGAGCCAAGAGGTGAAGCAGCCCCGAGAACCCTTTGGTGAGTAGTGTGTTCATTAATTACTCTTATTAAAAATGCGTGTCTGATTTTTGGCGTGTTGCCTGACCGCCCCTTTCAGCTATTGCGCTTTGTGGGCTTTAGCTTCTCGCACGGGATGAGATCACGCCGTCGTTCTGGTACTAAAGAGTGGGATTCTGTCTTCCATGATCAGTTTTTCTCATTATTTCACCCCCCCCCCCTTTTGGAGTGTGTACCAAGTACGAACAGTATGTAACGACAGTCACCTAAGTGAGACACAAGGAACGTCCTCTTCTGTCTTCCCGGAGGAACACTGGCCCTTCCGTGGTCAGCTGGTCACGGACCATGTCCCCAGAGTTACTTTTAGGATGTTTTTCCCTATGGGATCTGCAAACACTATTAGCGGTCGTGTTGTATTTTATTGCCACGTATTTTCTCACAAGTGTCTCGCTGGCCATTCAGAATCCCGCCAGAAAAGCCCACTGTTTGATAACTGTTTTCCATGAACAAAGGAGTTACAATTGTGTGTTACACCTTGGTGCTGCAGCCTGTTGGGTTCTGGTGGCTCTCGAAGCAAAGTACCCCTACGCAGCAAGACGCGCATCATACAGCTGTAAGCTGTGTCAGGCCAGCGGTTCCCTCTGCCACCGCCCCGAAAAGCCAGCTCAACTGGGACCAGAGATTAAAAAAACCCCGTTGATTAGCTTGAACTGATGATCCTGTAGCTCTAAACGGGCGGAACGTAATACTAGCTTTGCTAGTCTTTTGCTCAAAAGCCGTGTCAAGATTCCCAGGCGCGTCATTATTCTTACGGCCCTTTCCTTACCTGCCCGTTTCCCCCTTAAGCTGAGTATTCCTGTGATTTTTACTGGGAATTTTTGCCCAGTATTCAGTTTTTTAAACAAAAGTAAGCGGTACCTGCACAAATGTGTCTCCTCTCTCCTTGTTTGCACCTCTTTCTTTTATCTTCCGCCACGTGCCCCTCATTTTAGGTGTTCTGTAAGTCATGATTTCCTCCACAGTATCCCCCTTCTTTTACTCTGAATCCGTTTTCTAGTTTGTATTTCTCTCCTTTTGAGAATGCTTTTTCATCCCTGTCTTTCAAAACCCCATCTTTACCTGCCTTCCTCAGTCTCTTAAAGCTTTTAGTCTCTTCCCTGGCTCATCCCACCTCTCATTTAATTGTTACCCGTTTCCTCCTGGAAGCGCCACCTCCCCTTCAACCCCTTCAAAATTAAACTTGTAAAATACTTTCTCCTTCCGCTGTGCGCAGTCGCTACCATGGTCCCCCAGCAGCCGGGCTCACGCTGTTAAGGCCACCCCCCTCTGTACTGAGCTTTGGCTGCAGTCTTGCAAATCTTGTCTTGCGCGGTTAATTCTTTTTCCTTTCGGCTAGCTCAGACACCAGGTCCTTGTACGGCGCTATGAAAGCGCTCCAGCACGAGCAGAACCATCTTGTCCTCTTTCTGCTTTGTCTCTTCTTTCATGCTGCCTGCTCTCCCTGGAATGTCTCCCTACAGCACAGGAATTCCAATACATGTCAGCCTATTTCCCACAAGCTCTCTACGTGTGGCTCCCCTCTTTTGTTCTATTGGGAAAATCTTAGGATAGGGAACTCTTGACAGAGACCGACTTAGAAAACAAACTACATTGATGATACTGTCATTTCATTATGTACGCCACTGTATGATACGGTTCTACATCGTTATCGTCATACTGTTATTCAGTGATACGTAGTCCTAACTCTGCTCCATCCAGCTCAGGGGCCGAGGAGAACAAGGCGTTTAACGTTCTTGGGTTTTATTAAACTCTTGGAGAGTCTGTGAGGAATACGAGAAGTTTTAGCAGTCACGACTAAATTGTTTAGCCTCTCCGAGATGATGCTTGCCCCCTTTACGCTACGGCTGGCTGACAGTGCTAGGAATTCTCCGGAAGGCTACCTGCTACAGGTAAAACAAACTTCTCTTTGGTTTTTCTCAATTGCAAAATAGTAACTGTGTGCAGAAACTGAACTTTAGGTCGGCCCTACAGTACTACTGTCAGCCAAGTGCCAGCACCTACAGTGAAGATGGGAAGAGGGCAGGAGTGCTGGTGAGGAAAAGGAAAAAAAGTCCGGTTTTTGACGGTCAGGGCAGTCAGCCGGGGCTGTTTGCGGGTGTGAAAGCTGACTGCCCCTTTCTTACGCTGGGCTGGAAAGGTAGGTGCTTCACGTTGTAACGTAGGAAAGCTCGTACGTATTACCGAAGGTGGAGCTGTGCAGGCACGAGGGAGCACGAAGCACGCTGAAGACAAGCTGTCAGCTGCGGTTCGCTGCCCTGCCCTTACAGAAAGCCGCCTGGGGCGGTTCCTCCTCGCAGCCCGGGAGCGAGTGGCGCACACTGGAAACACAAGTAAGTCGCTTCCTTTCCTAACGCCGAGGATTGGCCACTGGTCCCGTTGCTTACTCCTGCTAGTGGAAGGAGACACGGAAACGCAGACTAGCAGAGCAGAGTAGTAGTGGGCACTTGCGACGCCAAGGTGGAAGGGGCGTTTTGGTCCGGAGGGAAAACCGGTGAGGCACGCTTTTCGGAGAAGTACTAGGGCTGCAGGGTACGCTGCTGAACAGCCTGCTCTCGGATACTAAATGTCACAGAGTCTCTTGGGTCACCTACGCACAAAACTGTTCAGCCTGATCTCAGTTGTAAACCTAGATTCTCTCTTTTTATTTAAAGGTTACCCCTGGGTCAACCACTACACCAAACCCTTTTTGTATTCAAAATGTTCGGCTCTTTGTCCTTGAATGTTTGTCACAAGAGGTAACTAAATTTTCAGCATTCAGAAAAAGAAAGATGCTAACCCGTGCCCCTTCTCAAGGGGCTGTTCCCCACCCTCTCTCCGGACGCCCAAACCTCCGTCCTGGCGCGGCGAGTCGTTTGTTCTTGTTACTACAACAAACCTCACCCAAATTCAAAGGGGATAACTGACGGCAAACTTGTCAGGGCAAACCTCCCCTGTAGAAAAGAGCAGCACATCTTTAGCTTCTGCATGATGTACGTTTACGCGTGGTAAGGTTGCCACGTGTTGGTGTCCTGTAAAAATAAAATATATAGGACTTGACTTCTACACAAATGCATTTAGTTTGGCAGTATTAGTTAATGGAGAAAATAAACTGCGTGTAAAATCACATATTTTATTGAGCCAACCATGTTTTCCAACGGCAGCTTGCCCTTTTTTGGTCAATTTGTTTCAAATTGCATACATAATACACTTTTTATAAAGCATTTGAGAATTAAGTTAAGCCTTGCTAACCTCAGTGTGGCTTAATTAAGAGTAACAGGTCTTTACTTTCAATATCCCAGCTGCTCTCCTGTCACATTTCTCTGACAAGCAGTTGCTCGCTTTAATTTGAGCTACAGGACTGCAGAGGGCCATCGGTGATTTAAGTGGAAGGCTGCAGAACTGCAGAAGGAAAGCGTTATTACCGTTCGGTTCTTCCAAAATAAATTTCCCACTGAGGTCAAGTAAGGGAGTCCAGTGCACGCAGACTTGCCAGCGGTAACCGCCACACCCGCCCCAATTACGCGACATGGTTAATTGCCTTTCCCTAATGCGGAGTCAGAAACAAATTCACTCCGCAGCTGAAGCAATCTTAAGAAGTATTTAAGGAGGCTGTAACTGTATCCCCCCCATTTCTTGAAAGATCTAATCTATCACCAGTTTTACAATCCCTTCCCGTGCCCCTCTGACGAGCACCCCACCTCCCGAGGGACCCGATTTTGCCACTCGAGACATCGAATATGGAAGAACTGCAAATGCCTCCCACTGACCGATGCAGCTTACCTGCCTACGACGGCAGTACGTTGCCGCAGCTGAATCATAAGTACTCTCAAGTCACGGGCAAGCAGAACAGGGATCGGTTTCCCCAGTAAAGCTGTTTATATACAGAATCTGACTTACCACCTCCGTCACTGAACATCCATAAATAAGACTTAAGTTATATACAGTATCGTAGAAGTGGGTCTTTATTCTTCCCACAAATAAATTACTTTTTTTTTTTTAAAAAAAACCAAACGTTAACTGAGTATAAAAAGTAATGCCCTAACAAAACTACAGCGCTGTCGTCATTCCATGTTGTCTTGGGACTGCTGCAGTAAAATACGTATTTCTTCAAAATACTGCTGCTTCCAACATCGTCTGGTGCTGTCTTCGTTGGAGACAGGCACTCCTTTGCACTCGAACTGCAGTTCCGTTTGAGCAGCCATATCCTTGAAATTCAAGGCCACCGTTGCGTAATGTTCTGAAGGAAGAAAAGACGACATTTCAATAAAGTGTTTGTTAAGGGAGTACGTTTGCTGTTGCTAATTTCCCGCCTGCTTTTGCCCCTGTCTGAGCGAAGCCTATTTTCACAGCTGGCAACTGCTCTGGACACCAGGCCGTTCTCCAAAGAATGCAGACGTAAGCGAGCTTCCAGGCAGGAAGGCTGTGGCGTGTCCTGCCTGTTCCTTCTCCCTGCACAGCGCGGCCTCAGCTGGAGGGCCTGAAAAAGACTCACCGTCAGGCCAGTTTCTACACCTCCACTTCAGGACGATTCTTTGGCTTGGGACCTGTCAGAAGAGAAGGAGGTTCTCCCCGTTAGCGTTTGAGATTAATTCACGTTATGACCACCCATTGCTAATTCTCCCCTGAAAAATAAGGAGAGGAGCGTTATCTTATGTAATAGTAGACACACGCATGTAAACAATACAAAGACTGGGGTTTGTTGGGTTATTTTTTTAAATAAACTGTTTTCATCGCACTCTCTGCTTGCTCTACGTTCCTCTGTTTTGTTTTCTCTACAGAAAAAGGTCAGGCTGATTCCTTACTAAGCACGAAACATTGGTTTTCTTGCAGACCTTGAAATGGGCACAAGCAAGCGTCATGTTTTCACCTCTGCAGTTTCTAAGCATGAGAGGGAGCACGCCCGTGACGTTCCGTTAAGCCATCCCACCTGCTGCCCTGTGCAAGCTGGGCAGTATTGCAGAAACACCATTTACAGCGGGCCACCAGCTCCTGCGAGGAGGGGAGGCGCTGCTTCAGCATCCGCCCTCAGCTGGCGCCAAGTCAGGCCTGCTGCTCTCCCTGAGCCGTGACGTTTGTGTGCTGCCTGTTTCACCTCAGTAGATGGGCATCCAACTGCACTGGCTCCCCTCAGCTCCCGTAAGGGGATGTTGCCGCTGGGGCCAGTGTAACGGTCCTGCAGCGAACAAACATTTCGTTAGCTTGAGCTGAAAATCCCATTTTCCAAGGCTTTGCTTTTTAAAAGCTGCCCAGTAGTCCGTGATGCTTACTGCCCGTCGTCTGGGTGGACATTGATACCAAGCCTAAGCTTGGCAACTGTGAAAATGATTTGAAAATGATTTTCCAGAGGTTTCAAAACTGGAGCTGAGCTCTAGTTACCGATTTTTCCCCTTCTATTTGCAAAGCATTCAGGTGGGGGGAGTGTCACATTTGCCAGTGGCTAGAAGAGAGATCACTTCTCCAGCTCCAAGAAGAAGTGATAAGGATTTGGGAGATAAACCTTAAACCCGCTTCCTCGCTCCTCCTAGTAAGAAAGGATGGCGCTGAGCACTTTCTCCCCCAGTGCAGGCCATTGGGTGCGGCCAGCACCTGCGCTTTCGATGGGGAAGAGCAATCACGAAACGTAATTGCAATTTTTTGGCTTTGCAGTAGAGGACCTGGCTGCGCACTAGAGAAGCTGAACTGTCAGGCACCTGTGCTACTTTTGAGCTCAGGGAAGCCCGACCACCCCCCATTTTTAAAGTGCAAAGTAGGAGCTTTTTACCAATTCTGCGTATTCACCGCTGACGCAGCCATCAAACATCTGGAGTTTGCCTCCTTTCTCGGCTTCAATCACAGCAGGACATTTAGAGAACTTCTGTACCAACTAGAAAAGAAGGAATACAGCACAAGTCAGTCAACTGCAGAGCCATGCTGATACATAATGCGCCGTATCAGGAGACAAGGGAGGTTTGCTGAAGAAGTACGATGGAAGACGGTAACTAAGCTGTAACGTACGTAAGAGTCTTTAAGCACTTTCACTTACTGCGGCGCTCCTCTGAGATCCGTGGTGCTAGCAGGCGACAGAACGAGGCTGTAACTGCTGAGAAGCCTGTGGTGGTGAGCGCAAAGACCAGTAGACTGGCCACGCGCACGGGGCGTGGACAAAGGACACGCACACACACGAACGATTTGGAAATGAGGGAGACAGAGCAGCAGCTCAAGGAAGAACTGCTGAGAGCCATTACTGCTTCCCAGGGGGAGTGCTGGGATTCTAATTTAAAAGTTCTCCGATACCAGCCCAGGCTCTTCTGACAAACACAAGCCCAAGAGCATCAGTGTTGTATTCCACACCCTGTAAGCAACGGTATCAGCGCACCCAACAGTTCGTCTCTTAACCTGTAAGCTCGGGTAACAACAGCGCCGTCGCTGAGCACTTTCAGATAAAAAAGCTCGGCTTTTTCTGACTAGCAAAGGAGAACGCGATTGAGCTGCAGACGAACTGTGTAAAGATGCAACTTCGCTTTGTTTAGGTGGCTTTTCTTCCTCTTAAGGTAACAACTGGCAAAAAAAAAGGTCTAAGCCACCCGAATAAGCTCTCATTGAAAAGGTAAAAGTGGAATGAGCCTCCTGCCACCTTCTAGTGCCCTCCGATTGCCGTCGCAAGGACTCCTGCCAGCTTGTCCAGGAGGTCAGCTCCCCAGCCTTCGTCCCCTGGGAGGAGACCAAACCCACACACCGCCTCAGCAACTGTCAGCTCCTTCTGCATTTTCACCGCTGAAATACCTCAGCGGCTTAAAAGGTGAAGCTGTTTGCCAAAACTTGAAGAGCAAAGGACCATCAGCATTACAAATACTTGGTTACGAGAGAAGGGTAGCTCACAAAGCCTTCCGTTTCTGGACGATCGCATCACTCCACTTAACGTACGTAAGGAGTATTATCTGTACTTGACGCTGTGATGTGATGCGTTCGTTACCACACAACTGTTCAGACGTAACAACAAACATCTGCATTCAGTTACATCGCCTACTGAAATTATCACTTACTTCCTTAGTTGTGAAGATGCTATAAAGTTCGTCTGCTGGAGAGTTGAATATTTCTCTCATCAGTATCTTCACTGTTGGAATTTTCACCCCAACTATCTCCAAAGACTGCGGTGAAACAGAATCCTGTAAAGCAAACAGTAGTTAGGTGAATGACTGCAAGATCGAACACTTACTTACTTACAAGTTCTGGAAAGGCAGGATTGGTGTTACCTGCGCATTCGTAAACATACCGCGTTGCGAATATACCCTAATTACACAATCTACTTCCCCCTTTATGTCACAGTATTATTAATCAGTATTCACTAAATAAGTGACAAAATTACGAGCGCGTGCTTTGCTCCAAAGACGCCTGGAGCTACCTGTAGGCTGGGGGAAGGGATGCGTGCAGGTGAATTCCAGCTTCACCTCGCGGAAGCAACAGCCACTACGGAGCAAAGCATTCACGAGCACATACACGCCGCTGTCCTCTTCCCGCCCGGCAGAGCCGTGCCCAGGATCTGTGACGGGTCATTTCCCTGTTACAGGCCCTGACCACAGCAGTGAGGCGGCAGTTCCACCTCAAAGGCTTTCACTTTTGCGGGTAATCCCAGGAATACGCAATTGTTAAAGAAAAAAAAAAAAATCTATAGGGACTACATTTACAGTAATATTAAATTCATACAACACTTAAAGCCAACATACTTGCACGGTGTTCCCACTTAGTTTTCGCTCAGCGGCCAGCTCCTGACCAACGGCAGCTTTTGTTGGCAGAATCATTCCCAAGGTAAACTCTGCAATAAAGAAAGGCGCTCTTCAGTATGAATCTGAGCTGTACAACCCCCCCTGCCATTACACGTGTAACGAAGATCGCTGGCCAAAACTCTGGAGAAGGGGTAAAACGGTGTAGAACGGGAGCACAGGACGGGACACACAACTCCAACCCAGAGGTTCCCGCCTTACCCCTATGTTTTTATTAGCAGCACAGCCTAACAGCCATTTCCCTTAAAAACACAGGCTTTTCAAAGTTACCCGACCCAAAATTAATAACGTCTGCCCATTAAGGAACGCGCCCCCTCCCGAGAACTTCCGAACAGTACAGCAGAGCGACGACAAGCTGAGGGCAGGGCCTCGCTTTGCCAGCCTGCAGGCCTGGCGGTGATCGCCCGTGGTCAGTAGGTGTAACACAGAACAGCTGGGGTCGCTACAGAAACTTCTGGATGCTGCCATGTTTGAGAGCAACGAAGACTTTGACTGGCAGGACCACCTTATTTCATCTCAGCTGGTGGCAATTAAAAATAAAATAAATACAAACCCGAGGACTTGTCAATATATTACCAATCTGTTCAAGCCGGACAGCTGCGTAAGAACGTAGCTAACATAACTGGTTTAACTCACCTGTTTTAAGTGCTTTCAGGTAGTCTCTCAGGGCCTCTCTGACTTTTGTGGTCCCTTCAGTTCTCATGAGGTCCTTCAGAACATCGCCTTCCCCTTTCTTTTTGCTAACGTTTATCTAGAAACAGAAAAATGACGAGATCTGAGAGGCATCTAAACGTGAGCCTTTTGGGCTCTGGCAACAACGTACTCTGGCTTTGCTTACTATATTCAGAGGACAACAGCAATTTCAAGTTCATTATCTTCTCAGTTTATCCTACCTTTGCTAAAAATAAACCCTCTTGGGTTTTGACTTAAATAAAGGCAGTATCTCATCTCCACAGCAGCTCAGTCAGGTTCATCAAGTACAAACAGAGTTGCCTACTACACAGCAGAGGCTGAGGAGTCTGTGGAAGCCACAGTAACGACTGCAATACAACCAACAGGGAGATTCCTGAAGTTCTTAGCTTCTGGGGCAGGGGGGGTGCTTGGGTTTTTTTAAGACTACAACAAGCAGAGTACTTCTCAATTTTGTAGTTAGTATATCGTCACAAACAATACTTAGCAAAGAAAACCGTGCACATTCCTAGTAGGTAAGTTTGAGAACAGAGAGAAGTCATTATTCCAAGTATAAAAAATTGAAAACATGAAATAAACTATCCAAGTGTAATTATCCCACTTAATCACAGGATAAATCAAAATGTGGTGCCTATATGTTGATTAATACTTTACTTAAGAATTCTGAACCTATATAGCCATATCAGTATTTCACACCTACCTCTGTATCATCTACCTCATTTTCTTCTGAGAGGTTAGGAATTTCAACAGATCCCTTATGTTTCTCACCAGACTCTTTCACTGTACCTGTATTAACATAACGAATTCTTAAATGCATTATTAAAAACTATTTCCCCCATAGCAAGAGTTTTATCTTGGAAATCAGTCGTACAAAAGCGTTACTTGAAGCAAGTTGCCTAGGATCTCATTTAAAGGAACTAAACAGCAACAAAAAGTCTCAAAGGTGCCACAGTACTTTCATAGTAAACTATTCTCGGAACTGCATTTTCCTGTACAGATGCGTTAAGGTACGTACGTGCACAGAGGGCCGTCTCACTAACACAGTCGGCACGACCGCTCTGCCACTGCTCTCACCTCCAATTGTCAGCTCTCCTCATGCTCTCCGCTTACAACTTGGGTCTGCCAACAGGGAATGGGAGTCTAAAGGGGGCAGGGGAAGAATAACCTCCTCTTCCCCTAAATTTGCCTGCCCTTTACTTAGAAGCTCCACAGAACCCTAGCTATTCCTTCCCGAATAGCTGAAAAGCTCCCAGCGTACAGGCGTGTCACCATAAAACGTACATATGTATAACGGACAGGTGTACAACTGAGATTTTTTAAAAATATGAAACTTCACTTGCAAATTTTTCAGAACAATTGTTCCTACTCTTATTAGCTTTACCATGAACTGCCAGTGATCACTGTACAGGTCAAAAGGACTTTGCAAGAACAGAAATTACGCTCCCTTTCTGCATCTCTCTGGGCAAGGGCCCGTCATCACCTACCTACGCAGGTGTTCTGGGATATGAGCCCTGTGCTCTACTTCCTTACCTCAGACCTTACTGTAAGAAGATTGAACTTAAGGTCTGACACCTTTTTTTCTTTCCACTGAAGACTTTTCCCCTTTACCTTGCAAAAGCATTGTTATTTAAATTTATTCACTACGCAGATTAGCGAGCAACAGCGGAAATGTGCAGTTCTGCCCCAAACCCAGTTATCTTCATACTGTTACATCAGCTTAGTTGTCAAAACATACGCAACACAACAACGGGCTTTATCAGTCTATCAGCAATACTCTAAAACACAAACCCAGTGCTACGCATGACTGCGGAAGGGGAATTATCACGAAGGCAGACGTAATATTCCTTTGATTCTCTCACCTTCAAAGGAGCTAGCTAGAGCCAGCTACTACTTAACATCACTCTCCTTCCATTATTTTTAATTACTACCCTGAAATGACCGCTACGCTACAGGGGGGCACTGTGCACAGGTACAACCTAATGTGCTACCGGTCGAGATCACAGTAAAGGACACAAACAAACGCTCTGACATTTCTTAGCAAGAAAGAGAGCAAGTAACGGTTAGTAACACCAACTGGAGCACGGTGCAAAGATCCCTTCCTAGTCAGGAGCCGTACGCAAAGCCTGTGAGTCCAGAAGCGGACAACAACATCCACACAGCGAAAGGCTAAACCAGAAGACCTCTCTTGGGCTTCTCAAAGCCTCCCAGGACAACCTGTTCGCTCAAGTACAAAGCCATGTGAACTACTAGTCAATTATACCACCAAAACACTTCTGGGCCCAACACAGATCACATGCAGCTGTCCCAGTTTTCTCCTTACTGCTTTCTTCCAGCTCCACGCTTAGTACAGGCAAAACCACGCAACGTTATCTTTGCAGATAGTAATGCAAATCTTATTGTCAGCTACTCTCCCCAAAAAGGAAGTGCAAGCGTGCAGGAAGAAGCTTTTAGGAGCAAAGCACAAACCTGACTTCTATCCATTCAGTTAATTTATTTTAGGAGTTGTGAAAACTGTTAATAAACGATTCTCAAATAACACAGGCTGGAATGACAAATTTAAATTCGTAAAAACAGTAAATAGGCATTTTTCACCCTTCAAAAAAATCGCTTGTCCAAGGGATTAATGCAGATGGCATCTGTGCTAGACAGCAAGTCCAGTCAGTTAACAAACAGCTGGTTGTTCAACATTACACAGGCAGAACGTTGGTACAACTCTGCATTTTTAGTATCACTGTAATATAAACAAAATTATTACCTTTTTATCAATCAATCAAATTATTTGTTTGAATCCCAGGGGACTCCAGTAACAGACCTCAGAATAAAACCTTTGTTTTTCCCGTGCCAATCCGCTATTTTAGATAATTAATAGCGAAAGCACATCTCAGACAGGCCTACGTATAAAACCACTGTTGAAATACCTAAGTTGTAAAAGGAGATACATGTTTTCATAAAGCTTCCATCACCAGGCAGAATAATCCATTGAAATCTTCATTACATCTTCAAACAAATGAAAGGGAGAACAGCCGTTTTACTCAATTTCAGTGCCATTAAGTACCCTTAGTTCCTCACTTCCTTGATGCTCCATAATTTAAATCGCTAAGGGCAATGTTTTTCCAACACTGGACTTTCCAAACCGGCTGCAAATTTCAGGATTTTATCATCTTGTCCTTGTGTACCGACGTTTTAATCCTAGCTTGAACTCTTAGTTATCCTAGACTTGTAGAAGGAACTAATTTCAGCAATTAGTGTTTTTAGCAGTTCAGTCTGAACTCTGATTTCTAAGTCAGAGCTCTCGGAAAACACACAACTAGCAAATGAAGAAAAAAACCATCAGCCCCTTCTCTTTTAGAATTTCACTGTGTAGTAGCAAACCCCTTTAAAACTAAGCTCTCAAAGACTTTATCCACTCAGCGCAACACTAAACCGAGCAAAGTACCTAATGCAAATTACAGTTGTCTATAGTTAAACACTGAAAAGCATAAAGACCTAGCAGAGGAAAAAGAATTTAGAAAGAATCTGTATAGAAATATAAACAAAATACTGTGTCTGCCCACTTCTAAACTTTACACACTGAAATAAAACAAACAAAAAACCCAACAAAACCAAACTAACCAGTGTTTAAAACTTAGATGATTTTAGCTTATCCAAAAAAAGACTCAAAGTATCAAAAAGCTGATTACAATTATTTAAACTGTACTGATATAAACTGCACGACAGAGCATGTTGTTTGCCTTCCTCTCTGTTAACGTTTAGATCACAATTATAAGCACGTTCTTAGTTTGCAACACACTTGTAACATTTAAAACATAGTTAACTATCAATGCAAACAAAAATAAATAAATAACAGCACCTCCTTAAGTCCCCTATTCCTGTGGGAGCAGACCTCCACTCCAAATCTGTTCAAATACAAGCACTGGTCTCAGCATCGAAGTAAACGTTAAAGCCCCGGTCAGGCCAACCAGGGAGAACACAGCCCTGCAGAACTGCGTTGGAAAGGGCACCACCAAAAGGAGAAGGGCAGAAGGCAGGCAGCCCGCTGGAGGGGCCAACTGCATTACCTGGAGCACTGATCCAGGGACTACAGCCCTGTTCTGGGGCGCAGGAATTAAGAGGGGAAAATCAAGTATGGCCCTCGGTATTCCCACCTCCCGTAGCGACAACTGAGGCCTGAGAAATAAGTACAGTATTTGGGGGAGGCACAACCTGTCATTTGGCATTACAATATCCACGTACAACTGCCCACGCAGGTGCTTTTTATCAGCCCTTCCTGCTTCTTACTGCAACGCAAGAGATGGTCCGCAATTTGCCATCAAGTTTTAGGCATCCAAGAAATGGAAAGAATTCCCTGATGTTACCAAAAGATACCGCTATCAAGTCAGTCAGCAAATAAAGAGCTGCCATGGGACGAGCGCAGCGGAGGATGAACCTCCAGGAGTTGGGGCTGCGAGCGGATGCAGCACAGCAAAAACGCATGGACACAGCCCGTTATCCCAAATAATCCAGAATTATTCCTTTATTCCCACTGAACAGTTTTTTCATTCATTATCCTCAACGCAAACTACATTAAATTTTTTGAAACATCTGCCGTTTTACGCATCCCTTGGTTTACGCTTTTTTTTTTTACACTTCTGTTTTACGCTTTTTACTCTTTTTTACGCTGTCTCCTGTTCCCTGCTATCAACACGCGTTAAGCACACGCTAGGAAACTAAAGCAATTCAAGCACACTGTTGCAAACAACGCATATGTCACCAGAATAGAAGTATGTACTTCTTGCAAAGCAAAATGAGTAGTACCGTGCTGATATGCTGTTAAAACAACGTTAAGAAACGTGCGTGGTACAAAAAAACTGGGTGAAGGGGGGGAAAAAAGACAAGCTAGGGTTTCAAGATTATTTAAAAATAAGCATTTATTACGCTTCAGGCCCACATGTCTCCTGCAACCTCCCTACAATTTCGACTCACTGTAGTTCACGAAGAAATTCCTGTTTTCCCAACCCAAACGAGAGTTTACTTTACAAAGTGACAGCTCCTGACCCCACAGAGCAAATGAGGAGCGGCTGCTTTGCGAAGAGCAGGATAAACTCGAAGGCAACCCCTACCAGGGCACATCTCCCCAGGAAAGCCGGGGGCAACGGGTGGAAACGTGCTGGGCCCGCAACCCCCGCGCTGCTTTCACCCAGGAAAGGCTCGGCAAGCCGGGAGGGAGCCTCCCCCGCCGCCGGCGGGCCGGGTCCCCCCG